TATGTAATTCTTGAACATATGTACCTATGAATCGAATAATACATTGGTTGTTTGAACCTGATGGATATGAATAAAGCTGTAGCATACATTCAAATTCAAATTCAAATTCAAATTCGGTACAATTTGGAAAAGCAACAATTAAATTACGGTGAAATTACGCTCTCCAGGTTGTTATGGCACACACGGTTGGTAAAACACAAACGTTTGCGATATGCACCATAATCCGAGACGGTTAGCAGAGAGGAAACGTGTGCAAGCATGCACACAGTTGCCGTTTGCAAAGCGTGTGCGATGTCAAACAATATCACAAACGGTGCGGGCAAACTAAATGTTTGTGTTAGTTACCTTATCATACATGGTTCGCAACCATGAACTATTTCTGATGAAGTATGCATCATAAACGTTGCACCACAGAATAGCGTGTGCGTTAGTTGTCGTGTACGACGATATTACGACGGTCTGACGTTTCGTAATCCTGTCCGACACTCGTACGACGATTAGCTAATCTTGTTAACGGTGAACTTTTTGCGATGGGCCGCGCATCATACACGTTCCATAATAGTGATCCGTTTGTGATGGGTCGTGCATCGTAAACGTAGCACCACCGAATACCGACTGCGATGGCAATGCGAGCAGAAACGAGTAGTACTGTAGGGGCCCTATCCCCGATGGTTTCTGGGTCGTGTGGGAAGGGCCCCCCTATCACCCACACTCACTTGGCGACGGTTCCAAATGCCGTCTCGGAAAGGGGTTTTAAACCGTTTGTTTAGGACCGACGCGTACCAGTGATATCTTTGCCGGGGGGTGCCCGGAACCCCTTCCGGTGACCCGATATGTACCCGGTACCCTCCGGAACACTTTCGGTGTCCGAATACTATCATCCTATATATCAATCTTTACCTCTCGAACATTTCGAGACTCCTCGTCATGTCTTTGATCTCATTCCAAACAACATCTGGTCACCAAAACACATACCTCATATAATACAAAATCGTCACTCAATGTTAAGTGTGCGGACCCTACGGGTTCGAGAACTATGTAGACATGACCGAGACACCTCTCCGGTCAATAACCAATAACGGAACCTGGATGCTCATATTTCCTCCTACACATTCTACGAAGATCTTTTATCGGTCGAACCATAATGACAACATATGTTATTCCCTTTGTCATCGGTATGTTACTTGCCCGAGATTCGATCGTTGGTATCTTTATACCTAGTTCAATCTCGTTACCGGCAAGTCTCTTTACTCGTTCCGTAATATATCATCCCGTAACTAACTCATTAGTCACTTTGCTTGCAAGGCTTCTTATGATGTGTATTACTGAGAGGGCTCAGAGATACCTCTCCGATACTCAGAGTGACAAATCATAATCTCGATCTATGCCAACCCAACAAACACCTTCGGAGATACCTGTAGAGCATCTTTATAATCACCTAGTTGCGTTGTGACGTTTGATAGCACACAAGGCATTCCTCCGGTATCTGGGAGTTGCATAATCTCATAGTCAAAGGAATATGTATATGACATGAAGAAAGCAATAGCAATAAAACTGAACGATCAATATGCTAAGCTAACGGATGGGTCTTGTCCATCACATCATTCTCCTAATGATTTGATCGTGTTCATCAAATGACAACACATGTCTATGGTTAGGAAACTTAACCATCTTTGATTAACGAACTAGTCTAGTAGAGGCTTGCTAGGAACATAGTGTTTTGTCTATGTATCCACACATATATCAAGTTTCTGATTAATACAATTCTAGCATGAATAATAAACATTTATCATGATATAAGGAAATATAAAATAAGAACTTTATTATTGCCTTTAGGACATATTTCCTTCAGATATATGATTGGTCGTACGAGAAATTCTGTTATATATGACGTGTACAGTATGTGGTAGCAGTGGCACTAGACGTACGACTGCAGTAGCCTAAAACATATTTGAAATGAAAAACAATTAAATGGAAAACACAAAACGAAAAGGAAAAATAAACCATAAAGCATAAAACCCTAAACCCCTAAACCTCTAGTCTTGGTTGGTGTTACCAACCGGGACTAAAGGTCCCCCAGCCCCCGGCGCAGGCTTGTGCCACGTGATGGGCCTTTGGTCCCGGGCCATGACGAACCGGGACTAAAGGGGGAGGGCTTTAGTCCCCACCCATTAGTCCCGGTTGGTGAACCGGGACTAAGCCTTACGAACCGGGACTGAAGGCCGATTCTGCACTTGTGAAGTTGAAGCTCACGTCTTAGCTTCTCAAATCTTGTATAAAATCAAGGATTGGAAACTTGCACAAAATGAAGCGGAAAGTCTACTAATAAGTGTACTTTCACCTTTTGTGCTAAGTCAAAATTTTAAAATTTTGACCAAGATTATAGAAAAGAGTACTACATCCGTCCTGGTTTATTGGTCCCCGTTGTAATCTGTGCGAAATTTTGACCATAAATTTAACTATCAAAATGTTCATGCATGTCACAAAAAATTATATCGTTGAAACTATGTTCAAATACGAATCCAACAATATAATTTTTGTTCACATGCACTAACATTTCGTCAGCTAAATTTTTGGTCAAAATTTAGCACAAAATACAAAGGGGACTAATAAACCAGGACGAAGGCAGTAGTAGCATATATGACAAAAAATTGGTATATTATGAAAGTACATGTCACAACAAATCTATTGATACTAATTTAGTGTCATAAATGCTGCTACTTTTCTCCATAAAGTTAGTCAAAGTTTCAAAACATTGACTTAGGACAAAAAGTATATATACACTTATTCGCGGACGAAGGAAGTACGTAGTTAGCATTGTGTGGAGTGGGTGTACCTACGATGATGTTCACATCTTGCTTCTAAATAATATTTGCTCTTTTCTATAGAATTAAGGTATGCTCTCTCAAAAGGACATGCATGTGCGTTTTTATGTACTACTTCATCTGTTCCAAAATGTCTCAACTTTATTACCTACACCGCACGTTCCACTTCCTTCCGGGCCGCTCGCGCAGGCGGCTCCGGAGGGCAAATCCCTAGCCCCACAAGTCTCTTCCTCGTGGTCCCCTTGTCGCCGCCGCCGACGACTCCGGCTGTGGTGGCGGCGCCCGGCCACCGAAGGCGACAGGCAGGGTCGGCGCGCCCCGGCGGGCTCCCCTCGCGCGGTGGCGGGACGCCAAGCGGGCGGCACAGGAGGATCTTCTGGTGTGGCGGCGCATGGCGGGGGGCGAGGCGGGTGGCGGAGCTCGGCAGGAGAGTAGTAGTGGAGGCCTTGGCGCGCGGGTCTGGGCTCCGTGCGGCGTCGGGATGGCTCCTGGAGGCGGCGGCGCGGTGGGGCCAAGGTGGCGCCGGCGAGGGCACAGGAGGTGGTCGCGGCGCTGCGAGCTCGGCCAGGAGATGCTGCATCGGCAGCGGTCAGGTGTGCAGCGGCGTTGAGCGTGCGGTGGTGCCCTCGGTTGGCGCCAGAGATGGAAGATGGTGCAGGCGGCCTGCGACCGGATCTGGCCGATCTGTGTCTCTGGATCGTCTATTGTGTGGCCTCCTGCCTGGATGGGTGTGGCTGGTGGCTGCGTGCGGTGCCGTCTGCCCTTGCCGTGCTGCCATGGAGGACCAAAGCTGCGATATTTCCTTGGCCGAGCGGGAGATGCAGTTCGGGTTGCTTGCCCTCGTCCGTGCAGGGTCGGTGTGCTGTGACGTTCTGGTCACGACGGCTGAGGTGTTGCGGCGGTGGCGGAGTGACCCATCATAGACAGTGTGCCTCAATCTGGTGGGGAGGGTTGGATATGTGTGACACGGATGAAAATCATGCCCTTCTTCGGACGGTGTTGGCGGCGACGGCGCCTGCGGGTCTCGATTCCCTCCTTGGAGGCGTCGCTAAGGTGTGTCAACATCTCTTCCTCCTAGCTTGGGTTGTTGTCTTCAGGCGAAAGCCAATTCGTTGTCGGACCGGCGATGGCGGCGTCTAAGCGTTGGGAGCATCGTGTGGGGAGACTTGGACTTTGGTTCCGTGTTGTGGTTCTTCGGTGCCTGCCGCTGGTCCGAGTAGAGCTACTTCGACGCAATGTACGCCGGCGGCGGTGAGTCCAAGACGCTGGCTTTTCTCGGGATCGACTGAGTCCTGCCAGCCACTCGCCATCTTCTTTTAGGCATTCAAGGTGGTTGGTGCATTGCCAAGGGAAGTCCAGTTGAAGTTGTTGCTCTTCGAGGTGACCGGTATTGGTCGAGACGCGGTTTAGTTGTTCTGTTTAGGGCAAGTTCCTTTGTGTTGTGGTTGTAACGTGTGCGGTTGCTTGTCTTCGGATAAGCTCGGGTGTAGAGTTCATGCTACACTTGATGTTCAAAGAGGTAGTCTCTTGTAATTGGTTTTTGCCTCTTATGAATATGAAAATATGGTACGTCTTTGGTGTACTCTCAGAAAAGAAAAACTTTATTACCTACACTAGACATTCGTGACAAAGCGCGGGCAGGAGAAAGTTACGGAAATGAAGTGGTAATGGACAAAAAGGTGTCACGAAGCAAAAGAACGAGGAAAGAAGGCGTTGAGCTCAACTACCAACGCAGATATGACTTCACCACCATAGCTAGCTGTGCCATGCATCAAAGAAAGAGGAAAGAACAATTAAAGCAGCATTGGTTCCGGTGAACAAAACCAGCAGCACGACAGTTAAGCCAGACTGGGCTACAATCAAATATTATAGCCGGTCTGGAACATGTCAGTCAAGGGCCCCCATCGGTACGTTGTGGATTACAGGAAGCGATTTCTTACTCCTACTCAATTTTATGTCGAGCTACTCAATCTGTGGAAATTGTCGTAAAATCCATGTGTTAAAAAACTTGCACAGACCAGGCATTAGAGAATGAAGGCAAACACAAAACTTCCTCCGAGCAACTTACACAAAAATGCTCCGAAAAAACATAAATTTCAGTATAACTACGTACTCCCTTCTCTCTCTAATTAATCTGAGCTCTGACTTTCTCAAGCTAATATCTCGGTCTCTAAGCTACTGTACTTTAGGATCTCTGAAGAGCGAGGCATCAAGGAATCGTAACACTCCGGAGCTCGCCGGGTGCAAGGAAGAAGAAGACGATGAACCGACACAGCTGCACCCCTCGCCGCCGTGCAACCCCAGCCGGTTCAAGCACAAGCATATTTTCTCCCTCTCCGAGTATCCCGTCCTAAGCACACCATCCGCTTCTCGGCTTAGGGGCGGCTGGCAGGGCGGGCTTATGGACAGGTTCAGGTCGATCATGCCCACGCCGAGGTTCCCCGCCAATGACGGCGGCAAGGACACGCTGTCGTCGGCGTCGCTGCTGTGGCCGCTGGCATCGGGCGAGCAGCTGGAGCCGCCCGCGAGCTGGTGGGGGCTGGCGCCGCTCGCCACGGCGGGGGACGAAGGCGTGTGTATCCCCTGCACGGCGGCAGTGCCAGCATTGAGCGGGCGGTGGGTCTGCGGGTCGACGCCGCGGGCGAGGAGCTTGCGCTTGACGTGCGTGTTCCAGTAGTTCTTGATCTCGTTGTCCGTCCTCCCCGGCAGCCTCCCGGCGATCAGCGACCACCTGCAAAGCAGGGAAGCCAATAATCAATATCACCGCCGTCCGCCGTTACATCGCATCCGACACATATATTTCAGTTCAGATTTTTCGATGGCCATAGCAAGGTGGGGCTTAGATGGCTTACTTGTTTCCGAGGAACTCGTGAAGCTTGATGATGAGCTCGTCCTCCTCGTCGGTGAAATTGCCGCGCTTAAGGTCCGGCCTCAGGTAGTTGATCCACCGCAGCCGGCAGCTCTTTCCACAACGCAGCAACCCTACACGAGTACATGCAGACGAATCAACATCATCTCCCACACGGCCGGCATGCATGCCAATGTTGAGTCCGCATACCAAATAAAGATATATATGTTGTACCTGCTGCTTTGGGGAGCGATCTCCAGCACCCTTCTCCATGGGCCTTGATGTGGGCGATGAGCCGCTGATCCTCCTCCTTGGTCCAGGCGCCCTTGTTGGTGTGCGCCTTCTCGCAGCACGGCGATCTCCCCATGTCCGCCGACGGCCGGCACAGCCCACAGCCCTAGGCGCAAGAGAGAGATCTGAGAAGTAGCCGGAGGAGACAGACACAGAGCCAAGTGACGACTGTCGTTTGATCTCAGGGAGGAAAGAGAGGGGTTATATGGTGGCGGAGAAGGAGGGGCGGAGGGAGAGAAAGCGGGGCGAGGTCGAGGTGGATGGAGAGAGATAGAGCGGAAAGGGTCCCATTCCCATTGACCCGGATCACTCCGAGACATTTGACCGAGTTGGTGTGAGGAGAGAGAGGAGGGGGTGAGTGAGTGGTTGCGGAGCCCCAGGGACGGATTTGGTAGGTTGGTAGGTAGGGAATGGCATGCTTCTGCTCCTGTCGGGAGCCCCTCTCTTTTTTTGCGCATCCCCCTCTCCCTCCCTTGTCCCATCTCATCGCTTCAATTGTTTGGTTTCATACATAATTGCTCGCGCACTTGCAACCTGTGCCAATATTCTAAGAAGTTAGCTCTGATTATCTATTCATATTAGTGTGATTGTATAAATAATTGTTTATCAAACCCGTGATTTACCTACCTAAATATTTTATTTGATAATCACTTATTTGGCAAGAACTTAATGTCTTACCAAAGAAACATAATTTTATTTGTCAAGCGATGAATAACAGACGAGAGGGAAAGAGGGATGCTGGACGAAGGACGAGGTGGAAGATAGAACCTTATATTCTTTTGAAGTACATATGCATTCAAAGGAATGTAATTTCTAGTGTGTTGCAACGAAAACATACACTAACATAATAATAAATGTCTTTTACGAGTAGACTAGAAGATAATTTCTCTTGCGTTGCAACGGAAACATACACATGCTAGTAGATTAGCATGTGATGCGTTAAAATCTTAGTAAGTTTGATCATGATTTACCTGTCATCTTATTGTTAAGCATTTACTCCCTCCGTCCGAAAATATTTGTCATCAAAATGGATAAAAAGAGATGTATCTAGAACTAAAATACGTCTAGATGCATCTTTTTTTATCAATTTTGATGACAAGTATTTTCGGACGGAGGGAGTATTTGATAAGAACTTATTTAGCAAGTTTTTCTACACAATCATCATGATTTACTTGCCATCTTATTGTTAATCATTTATTTGGTGAAAATTTAATGACTTGCCAAAGAAACTATTAGTTATTTTGGAAAACTAATAAGACGTGGGCGATAATCAAATATGGAAGGGGGATGGAAGAGGAGGAAAGGGGAAAAACCAGTTCCTGCCTAAAAACCAGTTCCTTTTGAAGTACATATAAGTAGAGAATAATATATTTATTTTAGTTTTTTTGTTCCCAGTTCCTGCCTAATATGCCCCTGTCGTCCTGAATCTGTATGCTAGTAACTATTTTTACCTACGGACTATGATACCTGGTGACAAAACAAAACGACTCGTGATCACTATTGTCCCATGCTCGTTTTCATCGATTCTTCCCTTCTCTCGAAAACCGTAGCTACTAACACTAACGTTGGTTTTTTTTCGTTGTATTCCTTTCTAGTCACAAAACAGTACGAAAAAGAACAAAGTGCTAGAAAGGGACTTGAACCGGATCTATTTAACAGCTACTAAGCCCAATAACCAACGCCAACCATCTTTACTTGTTCTTTGATATACATAAATAAGAGTATTTGAATCCTTCTTGTTTCTATGATATCACCAAAAATAATAATTTTAGGAATGGTAACTTTCGCATGAGCGTGTGATAACTATGACACGAGCAGCCTAGTAACTTTACATGATAAGGTTGCTAATATAGCATGAGAAGCCTATAAACTATATCATGAGAAGCATGGTAACTTTACACATAAGTTACCGGGTATTCAACAAACCCCCCTCCATTGAAAAAGTTACCATGATGTTTGAATGCAAGTAATCAGGTATGCGGTGCGTAAATTACCATCCAATTTACACAGAATTTATCTCAGGGGAGGGGGAGGGGGTACATTTCAACAACAAAAAATCCCCAGGTCAAAATTACCATGGTGTTTGTACATAAGTTGTCAGGTTTATGGTGTGAAAATTACCATGTTGTTTACACAGAAATTATTAGGGGTATGTTTCGAAAACTTTTCCCTCCCAGGGTGAAAAGTTAGCACAATGTTGGAACGTAAGTGATTAGGTCTGTGGTGCGTAAATTACCATGCTATTTACATAGAAGTTATCGGGGTTATGTTTCAACAAAAAAAATTCTCGGGTCAAAGTTATAATGGTGTTTTATACGTAAGCTATCATGTTTGTGATGCATAACTTATCATGTTGTTTACACATGCAGTCATCGTTGTTTTATCATCTTCCCTTCCCCGATCAAAGGTATCGGATCTGCGGCAAGTAAAAGTACCATGCTACTCCCCACACCCAAGTCAAAGTTCGACGGTGTTTGCACGTAAGTTACCATGTGTGGCATCCCAACTTAATAGGAATGATAGACTACTCATGTCAACAAGGTGCACCTTCTTGTCCGAGGGCCCACCCGAAAGGAACCTAAAAGTAAAGCGTGCTTCATATTTTTACTTGACGCAGAGTATTTAGAGAGAAAGTTACCGGGATATGTTTTCAATAACTTTTGTGTAATTAGCATGGTATTTTAGACATTAGTTACCGGAGTATGTTTAAATAAGTTTTACCCAAGTCAAAGTTTAAGAGTGTTTGCACGTAAGTTACCATGCGTGACATCTCAGCTTAATAGGAATGATAGACTGCTCATATCAACAAGTTGCACCTTATTTTCAGGGAGCCCACCTGAAAAGAACTTCAAAACTAAGCATGTTTGACTTGGAGCAATTCGAGAATTGGTGACCGAATGAGAAGTTGATCCCAGGTGCGCACGAGTGAGGACAAAGAGCGTAGGAAAGACTATTGTTTGTCTATAGGTCCAGTCTATATCCCAGGCGCAACAGCCAAGAATCGGTGGGTGGACCGGTGGGTTTGGTCGGGGCATTACAATTTGTATCAGAGTCGGCCCTCGCGGTTACACGGGTGTGTGAGGGTCAGTGATGAATACATGCGGCACATGTAAATTCTGACACTGATTGTGGACGAGAACGACACCTATGGGATCACTGGATCCCTTCTGCAGTTTGGCAGGGAAGAGGGGTAGAGCAAACAGCAGATCTAATGATCAACACGACGGATTTTTACCCAGGTTCGGCCGCTGAGAAGCGTAAAACCCTAGTCCTGCTTGAGTGTATATCTGTGTTCTTGAGCTTCGACTAGCTTTAACGCATGCAAGATGGGCCGAGAGGTTCAAAAGTCTGAATCCTCCTCCAGTATGCCGTGGGCGTCCTTTTATATGTCCAAAGGGGCTGCCACAGTGGAACACTATGTCAGCGTTCTGGTAACGGGGGTCCCCAGACTTGCCTGTCTGCGGCCTGCGGCGTGGCTCAAGTGGTGGCCCAGTACGGCCCGTCTTCATCAACCCAAGCTCAAGACCCTCGCGAGGGGCCAAGCCTCGCGGGGCGGACGACGCAAGGCTTCCTCAGGGACGGCCTCACCAGGCAGGCTCGCGAGAAGGCGGAGAGATCAAGGCAGGGGTACAGCGCGAGGTGCTCGTGATGCAAGCCATGACGATCGAGACCAGGCGGGCGCTAGCCTGCGCAGTGTCCTTGTTTCCTCTTTGGTGCAAAGGGGGCAAGCGCAGACGTGGAGTACTGAGGCATCAAGCAAAGGTTACCATTTCGGTTCAACGAGACCAAGACCAGCAGAGCGGCAGGACGGAGGTCACCGTGGAGCCCAAGATGGCGTCACCGCCAGTGCCTTTGGCAGTCGAAGACCAACTTTAGTCAGGATAACTTGTACTAGATGTTTCCCTTCAAAATGGTCGTTGTTGGCTCCTTTCCGGCTCAATATTTGGGAAGAGGACCGGGGCCTCTATATATAGAGATAGCCACCACAGTAGAGGGCATCTCAGAGAGTTCTCATCAGATCTAGAGGCGATCGAACTCACCCAAGTAGTTCACCGCACCAGCCCAAGAACACCTCTCGCGAGGCTGTTCTTCCTCTATACTGTTCATCATCAGCCCCTGAGGCAATCCACCACACCACACACTAGATTAGGATATTACACCACAATGGTGGCCCGAACCAGTATAAACCTTGTGTCCCTTGTGTTGCTCATCGTGTAGCTTAGATTCATCGCAAGGCGTTGGGACGTGGATCGGTAGGGGAAAGATCTTCGCGCGCACCCCAGAGTTCGAACCTTAAGGGTTTTGCCGGAACCCGATATCCGACATTTGGCGCGCCAGGTAGGGGTGTGCCAGAATCTTTCTTCAACTGCCCCGTGTTCCACCACTCTGTCGCCTCCATGTCCGGTGACCCGATGCCAACACCGACCGCTGGGCAGCATGGCCTGCCCACGCCGCGCCGCCTGCCCAAGGTGACCTCAACCCCGCGCCTCAGGCAGCCCGCGCTCCGCAGAACGCTGCGGGGTGCGGGTGACGCGGTCAAGCGCCGCCTGCCCTCACCCCGCTGCAGGTACGATCAGCAGCAAGGGCCTCAAACCACGTCGCGGCCACAACACCGCACACCCGACGGGAGCAGGCGAACATGAAGGCTGCACTCACGATGGCTCGAGAACTACTATGATGCAGGCTGCAGGAAATCGGCCATGACGTGCTGCTGGAGCGCGTCGCTGAGCTCCTGGATGCCAGTGCTTCAGGGACACCTCCATTCTGCGTCCAGCTTCCACCCCAGGCCCCGGGCGGATCACACGGCGGGCCCATCCGTGCCCGCGCGCCCCCAGGTGTACCTCAAGGCTTCATCAACACCAGCTTGGCCGTCAGCGCCGGGCGACAAGCTGCACCAGCACCGCCCCTGGTAAGCGAGGGCATGCGCATCGCTGCCTACGGCCCGGGCGGGCCGCCGCCCTACCACCCCCAGGAAGGTGCTTCAAGCCAAACCGCGTGGAGCGTGGGGCACTACAGCGAAGCCTTTGGGGCGGCGACCCGGAGGCTTATGTGCCCCACATGGTGGATCGGGAATAC